ATAGTTCGTGTGGGGCACAGAGAAGGAGTCAAAAGAGTATTTATGTGGTCACTGACCTAGAAAGCACAATCAGATCTCTGTCTGACAGAGCTGCAGCCTCTTGAGAATCTGGAGTGGTCGCCCAAGGCTGTGAGGCTGGGGTGGTGCGGGAGGAAGTGCAGGAGTGGGAGAGAAATGCCTTGGGACTAGGTTCCAATCAGGTCTCAAATGTTCTTTCTGCCAAGGATGCCACAGATGTTTCTCCAAACTACGTTTCACTTAACAATTTTTTTCATTTCAGAAATAGTGGTCTCCCCAGGTAACCACAAATGTGGGAAAATACAACAAAGACTGAAATGAAAAAAAAAAAAAATCTATGTAACTAAAGAGGAAAAGAATCCTATTCATCACCTGCAAATTCACCATGTCCAAAAACCACCCTCTTCAAAAATCAGCTTCCAGGTGCATGTGGTGGCGTATGCCTCTAATCCCAGCACTCTGGAAGACTGAGATGGGACGGTTACAAATTCAAGACCAAACTGGACAACTTAGTGATTTAGGGAGACCCTGTTCCAAAATAAAAAAAAAGGCTCTGAGTTCAATTACCAGTATCAACTCAAAAACAAAACACAACACAACACAATATCAAAAAACAAGCCCCTTCCCAACCTTGATTTCTAGACAAAGCACTTCTTTTTTGCCTCGTCCTTAGGCTTAAGACCTTGGCATCAGGTTAAGAGTCCAAGCACTTAGCTAGTTGTATCTGAGTCTTCCTTCAACATCTCTCTTTACTAACATAAGCAGTTTTTATTGTATAACTACTTAACACTAGTTCCAGAAGACTCTGGTGTTAGAAATGGGAGGATAGGATACAAAGATGTATACCGATACAGCTACTGAACACGTTGCTAGTAAGTTCATGAGCAGTTGAGAAGTCAATACTCTATTCAAAGATGAGATACTGTCTGGCTGGAGTAATTGGAAAACACTGGAGGGACAGCATTCAAACTGGGCCTTGATGTTGAGGCCTAACCTGGATTAGATAGAGCAAATGGAGAGAACTGGGAAGGGAAGCACTCAACAAACAGGGAATAAAGGTAGCTGCCTGGAACTAACAGTCTAGGAGGATAGTGGTAAGAATGAAAGGTGGAGCCAGGCAGTAGCAGCCTTTGAACGCTTGCCTTGGAGGCCTTAACTTTTGGGCTGCCAGATAATTTCTTTCAATTCCTTGTATCACCTTTACAGCTGACACCATAAACTTTGTCACCAGGGACTCCCGAGTGCAGAAGTTGGTGGCAGCTGCCTTGGCGATTGCAGGGTGTTCCTTCCAATTTGTAATTCATAGAAGAGGGTGCCACTGCTAAGGTCAGGATGCCAGCAGGTCCCTTTAGCACTAAAAGACTTGGGCTGGAGGTACAGAAAGTACATCTTTGTTATGGAGATGCTTCAAAACTGTGAAGTTCTAATACCCTAAATATGGCTGTGATCTAACATTTTTTTTTGTTCTTTGAGACAAGGTCTCACTATGTAGCCCAGTCTGGGCTTGAATGCACAATGACCCTCTTGCCTCAGCCTCCCAAGTGCTGGGATTACAGGAGTGCACCATTACACCTGGCAGCTTTGATCTAACTTAATCCTTCCCAAATTTGCTTTTATTTTATGGCTCCATTTTATTTTACTTTATGGTTCAAGGATCTACAATGACTATTACCTACAATGTCATTTAAATCCTGTCTTGCCTGAAATTCAAGGTCATGGATAATCCAGCCCCATCAAATCTTTTCAACTGTATCTGTTACCACTCCTCTGTACCAACTTTTTTTTTTTAAAACAGGGTTTCACTATGTAGTGCAGACTGGCCCTGAACTCACTTTGTAGCCCAGGCTGCCCTCGAACTTGTGGAGATCTTCTAGCTTCAGACTCCCCAGAACCAACTTCCAATCTTTTCTTAAGGAGGTTAAATTACTACAGAGCTAGTGTTAGACTCTTAGCTGAGCTAAGTTTAATATAGGGTTGTTTTTTTTTTTTAAAGACAGTGTCTCACTATTTAGTTCAGGCTGGCCCTGGACTTACTATGTAGCCCAGACTGGCCTTGAGCTTGAGGTAATCCTCCTGCCTCAGCCTCCCAAGCTGGGATTACAGGTGTGTGTCACCACTCCCGGCTGAGCTGTGTTAAATTTAAACTAAATTTAAACTAGACAATAGTTTAAGGATAGGCTCTTTTTTTTTTTTTCTTCCCTCCCTTTCTTATAATACTGGGGACTGAAACCACAGCCTGGACATTCTAGGTGAGAGCACTATCACTGAGCTATATTTCCAGACCTTGGGCTGACTTCTTTTTTTTTGCTACCAGGAATTGAACTCAGGACCTCGTGGCTAGGTCATTTTTTTTTCAGGCATAAAAATACAAATCTTAAGGCAGGAGTGGTGGCGCATGCCTGTAATCCCAGCACTTGGGAGGCTGAGGCAGGAGGTTCTTGTGAGTTTGAGACCAGCCTGGGCTACAAAGTGAGCTCAAGGCTAGCCTGAACTACATAGTGAGATCTTGTCTCAAAAAGGCAAAAAAAAAAAAAAAAATCAAACAAATTTTACAAGAATATTTATCATAATTTATCAGTTTTTATTCAAAATGTCTTCTCAAAGATGTTCTGAATATAAAAATTCAAAATTATTGTTTCCAAGTTGTATAAATGTGAAAAAACTATTAGAAATAATACTGCTAATTTTCTTTATCTTGTTAGGAGATAGGATTGTTTAGACACAAGCATTTGTAAAAAAAATTGTGAATGTACACTTTAAACTGTATAGCTTACTGGATACGAACTTTATACCCAAATAAACTGTAAACAAACTCTAATCAATGATATAGATGCTTAAGTATTTAGAGATAAGTGTGTTGTGTGTAACTTAAATGGATGGATAGGTGTGTGATAAAGTGAGTTAAAGAAAAATGTTAATGGTAGGATATAGGTGGTTCCTTATTAAATTCCTTAGACATTGTTAAAATGTTTGAAAATTTTCATAATACAACACCGGGAAAAACAGCAACACAGTATAATAACTGTAAGCCTTGATAACACTATACTTTGTAAAGTTGCAAGATGTTAAGTTTTGTGGTAGGACCAAGCATTTGCTCGTTAATGTCTTCATACCACTCTGCACACACTTATTATATTGTGGTTCTCTCCCACCACACTGTATGTTCTTTTTTTCTTTTACAGGCAGGGTTTCACTATACAGATCAGGCTGGCCTTCAACTCACTTTGAAGCCCAGGCTGTCCTCAAACTCACACCAATCCTCCTGCTTCAGAGTACTGAGATTACAGGCATAAGCCACCACACCCGGCCACACTGCAAATTCTTGATGGTCACTGCTTGAGCCAAATTTGTATTTATATTCATATTACTCTGCATCATGTTTGGAGAACAGTATGTGTTTCAATAATGATGAATAAAAGTGCAGTGTTGTTAAGGATTGCAGTGTTATGTTTCTAGTAGACTCACTATTAATTTTTCACATATCCTAAAAGTGTTACAGAAACACGTCCTCTATGTCTCCCCAAGCGTATCAAATTTTCAAAATAAAAATTCATCTGTACCCGTACGTACGCTTATTTAAACCTTAACCCGAAGGCCTAACATTCAGTAATTTTTGAAGATCTTTTTCTATAAAAGAGTGAAATCAGAGTTCCAAGGAAGCCTGGAATATTTTTAATTATTGGATAAACTGTCAGAACTAAGAGATTCATGAACTGGTCAAAAGCAAGAAACTGAAGATCTAGGGAAAACATACCAATAAATGACACATTTAAAAAGTCATAAAGCAAATCAAACAAGAAGTCCACTGAGATACAGAGGCAGAGTCTTAAGGAGAACACCAGAACATCTTCAATTCCCCCGGGCCTGCCTCTTCCCCCTCCACCCAGTCAGCGAGCAGGACCGCCGGCCCTCCCAGAATGCCACGCGGCGGGAGCGGATGGCCCAAACATGCAACTTCCTACGTCAGCACCCACAAACCACTCGAGTTCCTGGCGTGAGCACCTGGCGCCGACTTTAACACCTGAGCCCGAGGCCCATCCCCACCCCCACCTTCTGCTAGGTCTGCAGCCCTGTGCGAGTCTCCAGCCCTCGCTGGGCTTCAGTTTCATTTGTGGAATACAGCGATTCTCTATCACTGCCTACAGGAGATGAGAGTAAAGGCGCTCCGGGGAAGATACAAGCGACGTTCCAACTTATGGCTGTTAACCTCGTGGCGCTCACCAAACAGCCGGAGACCGATCTCTCGAAGTCACCACTGCCCCTCACTTCGTTCCAGCCCGCGCTGGTGCTAAGGCCTCTGGGCCTCCCCCCCTGCGGAAGTCTTGCGACACTCTCATACCTGCAGCCACCTGGTCAGCAGGACCCTCCTGCTGACCCACGACGAAGTCTTGCACGAGCCCCCACAGGGCGCCCGTAGGCACTCCCGCCTCCAGAGCGGCGGCAGCCATAACGCTAGCCAGGGATCGTGGGAGGCGGCGGGCTATAGATCTCTCCGCGCATGCGCCGCTTGAACCAATCGCCTGGCCCAGGCCTCTGGGCGGGGCGTCGCCGGATCACGTGCCTGCCGGCTCCTGGCCAGGCGGTTCCAGGGAGGGACGGGACAGCCCCGCCCTGAGGGGTGGAGCCTGTGGGGGCGGTGGCGGTCGCTGGGCACGCAGCCGCGGGCCGTTGAGGGCGCTTAATTACCAGCCTGGCCGAGCTCCGCCGGAGACTAGCTGCGGGGTGGGTACCTGGCTGGGTGGGGCTGGGGCGGTGCGCACCTTGTGAAGCCAATGAGAAAACCAGACCCGGCCCGAGGGGCGGGACCGGCGGTCACATGCGCACCTGGGGAGGGCGGTGGCGCAGGCATCGAAGCCGGCGGCCCGGAATTGGGCCGGGCCGGGGCGGGGCTAGGCCGGTGAGTGGCAGGCTCCTGGGGGCCGGCCCCAGCTGGGAGCCGCGGGCGCGCCCGGAGTAGCTGCGGCGGTGCCCGCCCTCTCTCTCCGCCCCTGTGGCGGGGCCGGTCTCCAGCCGGGCACGGTCGCGGGCCCCCTTGGCCCGGCCACCTGGGACTGTGCTGGGAGCTGGCCACCTCTCTCTACCCTGGCCCGCAAAGTTTGTGGCGAAGCCGGCGCCGGACAGAGCGCGTCCCGGGGGAGATCTGGGAGCGCCCTGGGCCGGGCGGCAGGCACCGTGGACCTGGGACACCGCGGTTCGGGCTGGAGTGCGGAGCAGCCTGCGGCCGCCGCCTCCGGTGCATGGGGACCGGCTGAGGAGCCAGCATGGGCAACTGCGTGGGGAGACAGCGTCTGGAGAGGCCGGCCGCCCCGGGACACCCCCGCAAGCGAGCAGGTACGCCGAGGAAGGGAGCGGGCACACGCCCGGCAGTCGTCCCGGCCGTGCTGGCGCCCTGGGGGTCCTGAGCGACCTCCCATGGCTCCTGGCGCCCGGGCTGCTCCGACCTGGACGGGGCCCCCGCCCGGCACGAGTGGCCGCGGAACCCATTTGGGGCGGCTTGCTCCAACTGGGAAGCTCCTGGTGGGGGCGGGGGCAGGAAATGTTTGCAGACCGCAGCGGGGCCGGCCCAAGAGGGGGTGAGGGCCGGGGCGCCGCTGGGCAGGGTCGGACGCCCCCCGAACTCGGAGCGAGAAGGCAACAGCAGCCGTTCCTTCCAAAGTCTGTGTCATTATTGGGCTGCAGGTCGTGTCTGCCGGAATCCGACTTGAAAAAGCAGTGCAGGACTCTGGGACAGAAATTTTTATTTTCCCTTTCTCGCTCGGCTTTTTGAACCTCCTCGCCTTCTGGTAGTCTAGGAAAGGTGGGGTGCCGGGGTGAGAGTCACCCTTGGGTTTGTTGGGATCCTTTCCAGCACTGGGAATGGGATCTGCTCTCCGGGGGATGATCCGCGAGGCCCCTTCAGCGCCGTCTCACTTTTTTGGTGCAGCCGTCCGGTCCTGGCGCTTCGCCCCGGGAAAAGATCTGGCGGTCATTTCCCTGGGTCTTGTAACTCACTTCCTTCTCTGAGGATGTTGCAAGGTCTTTCTGAGAATGCTAAAATAGTCTTTAGAGCTCAAAGGGACATTCGAAACTTCTCTGGATTCTAGGTAGATCGATCTGTCTTCTCTGTGTAGATCCAGAGAGGTTGAGCAACTCGTTCAGAGTCACTCAGCTAGTTCGTGCAACCACAGCTAGAACCCAGCGTCGTACTCTACCCTGTTGCCACATAGCCCTTTTTGCTAGAGGAACCACAGGCACAGTTGTTAATGAAATGGAAACTCTAGCTGGAGTTTCCTGTCTGCTTTGACACTGAAGATGTGTTGCTTAGGTTGCAGAAACTGGGAAGTAGAATGGGGAGAAAGAAGAGGAAAGCAGGAAAGGATGTCTGTGTGGTAGACAGGATGACTTGTGCAGGAAGGTACATGTTTTTATAGAAAGAATGAAGATTAAAATCCCCTTGTCTGAGGGCAACGGTGGTCATTTTTCTTACTGAGGAAACTTATTTCTTCAACCCGTGGGCTTTCTTCATTCTATACATTTTTTTCAACAAATTTTATTTATTTTGTGGTACCAGGGCTTCATGCATAGTAGACAAGCATGCCCCCATTGAGCCACTGAGCTATATCCCCACCTCACCGCACCCCACCCCCCGTTTGAATTTTGAGATGGTGTCTCACCGATTTGCCTAGGCTGGCCCTCGCACTTGCGGCTCTTCTGCCTCAGCTTCTTGGGTAGTTTGGGATATACACATGTACCACGTTTCCAGGTGACGATTAGTTCTTAATTATAGCCTCAGTCTTTAGTTTTGTAGCTGCTTTTGCCGGTGATAACCCTCTTCTACCCAAAACTCTCCCGTTCCTTTCCTGGCATCACACTTTTTGGTTTTCTTTGCTGATCACTTTTGCCCACTGTCACCTCTTGAGTGTGGGGATATGCATGGTTTGATTTGACATTCTGAGTTTTCTCATTATACCCCCTCCCAAGGAAATCTTACTCAGTTAAACTACTCTTTCCATTGGGAAGACTCTTACATTTTAATCTTCAATTTGAACCCTAGGCCCCATCTCTAGATGCCCACTGGTCATTGATGTAGACTAAATGCTTCTAAAAAACCAAGCTCTGCATCTCACCTCAGCTTCCTACTCTTCTGTTCTTCCAACTGCCTAACTTTATAACTTTCTCTGCTTCCTTATCATCTGCCTTCCAACCAATCAGTCACTGGAGCCTGCTGGCTCTTCTTACAGCAGATCTGGCAGACGTGCACCTTCCCATTCAACCTCATGAACTTGTCACCTCAAGGGCAACTCTTCTTCCATACAGGAGTGAGTTCCTTAGGAAGGACAAGTTTGCATTCAGTCATTCATCCAACACCTGTGTATAGTGCCCCCCCAAGACATTTGTGAAATTAACCTGTTCCAAATCCTGTAGTTTCTATGTGTAAACCTTTTCTGTATCTTGTCCCTCCTATAAGATCTTTGACTTTGAAGGCTAGTAAATCTGGCCCATGCCTTTTTTTGTTTTTGGTGGTACTGAGGGTTAAACCTAGGGCCTCAGGCATGGTAGGCAAGTGCTCTACCACTGAGTTATATCCTCAGCCCTTTTTATTTTGAGACATTGTGCTAAATTGCTCAGGCTGACTTCAAACTTGTGATCTTCCTGCCTTATCTTCCCAAGTATCTGAGTATCTTTCTGAGGGATTATAGTTACATGGTATTGCCTTGGAATTGGCCTCCTCCCTTTAAGACCTTATTTCTTTGTTTCCCTGGACATAAGGATACCAGCATTTGCTTGTGCAATTCCTCTTCTTTTTGAGAGCTTTTCTTTCCTTTAAGGTTCACTTCAAATTTCATATCTTTTTTGAAGCACCCTACCTGACAACCTCTTCTGAGAACTCCTGCAGATATATTAGCTGTGCCACTTACTTAACAATTATCTACTCTATATAATTAGTCATGTCTTTGAAGTTCATAGTCTTATATCAGCAATCATATTGCAGACCTGGAGGCCTGGGTTGTCTTTTCCCTTTGTGTTGGTCTGTCAGTGTCACTCAGTCACATAACCATGTACACACATAATTAACACAGTGATTTGTATAGAGGAAGCACTCAATATTTGATTTTAGAAAGCAAATCCAACTTTATCCTACCACCAGACTTTTTAATGTAAATATTTTACGGAAGTATATACCTACATTTTTTAAACCTGCTAGTCAATTGTTATTTTAATTCTGTTCACCCTACTATGAATAGCTTTTTTGTAAAGTCCAAAGCCAAGGGGAACTCTAGGATGACAAGATTTGGTAAAAGGAAAGGAATCCTTCTTCACAGCATGCACCTGACATTCCTGTAACATCTGTACCTTATTACTCTTTGACAGAGGCATAGTTTCATGTTGGAAGACTAATGACTAGGGCTGGAGGTATAGCTCAGTGCTAGAGCGCTTGCCTAATATATGAGGTCCTCATTCAAGCCTCGGCACTGCAAAAATAAATAAATAAAGGACTGATGCCTGAAACTTAACCCCCGCAGCTCCCACTGTAAGTCTTACCTTTCTTTTGGCACTGGTGTGATGAGAAGAAATTCTTAACAGAATGCTAAGACCTGAATTCTAGGCCTGGGCCTCTGTTTAATGACCTTAGGCAGATCACCAAGCCTGTCTGGACCACACTTTCAGTACTTCAGAAAGAGAGGGAGTTGTACAAGGTCATTAGAGCTGTTTTATTGTCTTCATAGAGGTTTAAAACTGAAGTTACTGAGATGAAATCTTACGCCTTGTAATGCTACCCTTTGTTCTTAGTTCTGTCTTCTCAGTTGCTTGACAAGTGAAGCGGGCTCAAGGCGAGTGGTCCGGGATTCTTGGATTGAGTAGATTTATTAGATTGTCTTCTTTTCTTACCAAGTTTTGTGATTGCTGCTTTTTTATTTTTACTTTTATTGTTAGCTGAATGCTTCCCCAGTAGGCAGGTTCTTCTCTCAAGGTTCTGGGTGTCCTTGCATGCTTCTAAGAATACTTGGGGATTTGCTCCTTTGAGGGGCTACTGCCACCGTCATGCATTTACTGAAGTAGATCAATATCTGCTCATGAGCTGGGTGAAGCAGCCCACCCCCTAGCTACTGCAGGGAAAAATAGAGGTGGTAGAAGAGGCAAGTTTCTTGCCCAGCCCCACCCTCTGAGAATGTGGCAAGGCAGAAACCCAAATATCTGACTCTGTGATGTGCCAAGTATATCCACTTACAATCTGGAATCTCAGGCTCTCGGCAGACAGACCCAGGGCCCTGTTTGGGACTGGTTGGGCTTGGCATTGTGGTTGTAAGGAGTGTGTTTCTGGTTGTATGGTTGTGTGACTATTCTTGAGGGAATAGTTGAGTAACTTCTCTGTTAGCTCAGTAAATATTTATTGAGTACCAGGCACCTTGCTGGCCATGAATAGACCTTGGCCACATGGAGCTTACAGTCTTGTGGGCATAGACAGTAAACACATAGACAAATTACACATGATCGTCATGTGACTCTTTTTTGGAGAGAGGATCTTGATATGTAGTCCAGGCTGGCCTTGAACTTGCAGTGATCCTCCTGCCTCAGCCTCCCCAGTACTGGGATTACAAGTGTGCACCACCACAACCGGCATGTGACTCTTGTATAGGTATGATTATGTATTATATATGCTGGTGAGTTCCACATTTATAATCTCAGTCCATCCTCTCCAACTCCAGCCTTGTAGATTTTGCTGCCTGCTCACCATACCTGCTATCCAAAAGACTTCTTTGTTTTACACATCCAAGCCAGAATGAACCCCTACTCCTACCCTTATTCCTTCCCAACTCATTCCCATCTCACTTAGAGGTGATTTCATCCTTCCAGTTGCCTAAGACTCCAAAACTCTGGAGTCACCCCTGACTTCTCCCTTTCTCTTAAATCCTACATCCATTTAATCAATAAATCCTGTTGGCTTTGTCTTCAATATACCCTGAACCTGACTTTCACCTTCACCCTGCCTGAGCCTCTACCACCCTCTTAACTGACCTTCCTACTTTTTGTCCTGTCTCCTGAAAAACTGTTTCATCACAGCAGCCAGGCTGCAGAAGCTGTAGAGCGGTTACATTTTGTTGCTTTTTGTTCAGCTCTTCCTGTGACTCTATCTCATCCAAAGTCCTTGCACTGGCCTGTATGGAATGATACAAGTTTTGCCCATTTATTTTTCTTAAACCATATTTTGCTCTTCATTCTCTTGCTCAACTCCCTGGTATCTGAATGCCTCCCTTTCTGTCCTTGGTCCAGTCTCCTATTTCAGACCCTTCCAGGCCATCCTATTTAAAATCGATCCCTTTCCTTCTCCAGCCTGCTCTCAGCATTAT